CTCTTCCCAGGAGACACATCTCCCTTGATTGCATTTGTCTGGGGCCCAGTGCTCCACGAGCCGGGGCTATGAGATGTAATCTACAATGAATGTGGTATGCAATAAATACAGGTAGCCCGTTTATGAGCTGCCGTATTTATTACACTCCTTAATTGCTAAAGAGCCAGAGCCGGCTGAAGCTGGATTCTACCCTGGAGAGAAGCTCTGCCTGGGTGGGCAGAGGGAGGGACGGTAGAGCCTGGCCTCCCACACAGGACTACTCAGCCTCTTGCTATTGTGGCTGCTCTGCCTCCAAAGGCCCGTTTATCCTTCATGGCCTGATAGAGGAAGCAGTCAGGCCATCAGATTCCTGCTCTGCCATTTGACACGTGAAGACGCTGAGGCCAGAGAGAGAAAGTGATTTGCCCAAGGTCACATAGCAGTGACTTAGAGAGCAGGAGCCAGGGCTCCAGACTCCTAGGCCAGTGCTCCTTGTGCCTAACTCTGCTTGAACATCTGCTCCTGGATCAGGTAGAGCACAGGATCTGGAGTTGGGTGAGTGGTGGTTTTGAAGCCCAGTCTATGCATATACGCTGTGTGATACTGGGCAGGTTACTTGACCTCTCTGAGCCTCAGTGTCCTTTTCTGTAAAGTGGGCATAGTACGTCCTGCTTTATGGACTTTCTGGAGAGATTATGAGTCAGTGCTCAATAAATGTTCAGTCCTCTTTTCCCTTTCCAAAGGGCACAGGGCGTCTGAAATGCATGGAGCTGAAGTCAGCCAAGAGCTGAAAGGAAAGATGGGTCAGAAGAGAAAGGCTCCGGGGTGCAAGGCACTGTCCTGGGTTTCTGATCTAAGGGAACCGCAGGCCTATAAGTAACCTATGAAGGCAGAGTTAGATGTGGACGTGATAGGAGCTGTCCACCCTGCTCTGTGCATTTACACTGGACATTTTATAGATGAAGAAATGGAGGTTCTAAGAGGCTAAGTCACTTGCCCAAAGACACAGAGGTAGAAAAGGTAATGGGCTGGGATTCGAACCCCCGTGTGTCTGACTTCAGAGTCCAAGCTCAGGACCATGCTGGTTAGATGCAGTTTAGATGCTCCTTCTAGAAAGTCAGGGATGATAGGAGGGATGTGGCTGGCAGGCTGGAAACAGTATCCTGGGGAATGTTCTGCAGGAAGAGAGCCTGGCCTTGGTGATGAAGGAAGGGTAAAGGCCCCACAATCACGGATGATGGCCAAGATGCTGAATAAGCAGGATTCACTGGCATGAGCCAACCAGAAGAGATACTGGCCAGACAGGACGGCCATCCCTATGGATCCCCACTGAGGACCTATGAGGGTAGAGGGTCCCTCTATCCTGCTGCAGGCCCTGCCCACTGGCCTTGGGGAGGGTGGGGCCTGGAGCAAAGGAAGGGATAGGTTCTCCTGGTGCCTCCCATCCCATGCAGCTCTAGGCTTTCTGACCTCAGGAAGATCTGGAGAGAAGGGAGAGCAAGCAGGGCATTCAGAGGGCCCTGTCCTCGGCTGTCCTCACCCAGGAGAGGGCACGACAGAGAGAGGAAAAGGGAGCACAAGAGAGCGTGGCTGTGGGTTGGAATCGTTGTGGCTCCACTTTCTAGCTATTGAAGGCAAGGAGGCTACAAATGCCTGGAAGCATGCCTTAGCCCGGTACCAGGCCTCCTGCACACACTGCTGAATTAACACTCCCTATGTGGAACCATGGACGATCCCTACTGTGTCCCAGTAAGGCACAACCACAATTCTGCTCCTCTGGGATTCACCAGGAACACTGGTTGGTTATGTAATGGTATATATTTTGGTGGGGGCAGCAGTAGACATCAGCATAGGCCATGGAATATTATAATAAGGAAGGCACTGAGCTTGGCTTGATGGCGACAGGAGGGGGCAATCAGGAAGGCTTCCTGGAAGAGGTGATGCCTGTGACGAGTCTTAAAGGATGCATAGGAATTAAGTGAGACTGGAAGTAGGTGGAAGGGCAATGGAAGGAAAGAGAAGGGATCACCATGAGCAGGGGCAGCAAGTAAGCCTCAGGGAGATACCTCTGGGGGACTCTGCTTTGAGGGTGATGATTGGAAAATGAGGGCAGGAGTAACAAGAAGTGGCCATGGGGAATCTTGGAGGTCCTGTGGTCTGGAGGAGTCAGCTTGGTCTCCTGTACCTGTTTGGTTTTCAGCAAGAGAGGGCTGTGATGACATGTGCTTTGTGGAAAGGTCCTTCTGGCAGCAGAGAAGCACCTGATTGAAGGGGAGGTAGGGACGCCAGTCTCAGCCCAGAGGCGGTGGCCATGTCTGGATGAGAGAGAAGGCCAGGAGCAGGGCTGCGGCTGGACAAGTTTCAGAGACCCCGGCGATAGAGAGGATGGTGTCATCAGATTCTACCTCCAAAGGCAGACGGCGTGTCATGAATTCAGGCCATGCTCACTGAAGTAAAGAATAATGCCCCATCACACTGCCTGGGTTCCAGTTTTGGCTTCACCACTCACTAGCTATGACCTCAGACAAGTCACCTCACCTCCATCCTACCCTCTAGAAAATGAGGATAATAAGACTACTAATCTCATGGATTGTTATGAGTTAGTAAATGTAAAGCATTAGGGCGGAGCCAGCACATAGTAAATGCTCAATAAATAGTATTATTTGTAGGGGCGGAGATTTGGGTGGGTGACCACAGGAAAACCCTGCTTTTCCTTTCCCCCTGCACAGTTGAAGAGAAGCCCTCAGGTACTGTTGGAAGGACAAAGCCTTGGAGCCTGGAGCCCCTGGGTCAGCTTCACCCTAAGATTTTTCCCTTTGAATGGCCTTGCGTTCCTTACCAGCTAACTTGGTGCCTCAGTTTCTCCCTCCTGGTAAGGAGGAGGATGTCCCAGGTGGGCTCTGAGTGTCTTCCCCTCTGGGATTTGATGCCGAGTGGCCCCACCTGTTCTTCCCCTGCTCAGCAGTTTTCCAAGTTGCAATAAGGGCCAGTGGAGCAGCAGGGAGGAGGCGTCCCTTTAGGGAGGAGGAAGGCCCTCCGGCCCCAGGGCCAGTGCGGAATCCAAGGCCAATGTGCCTATCAGGCCTTCCTCACGGGCTCCAGGCACCTTAGCCATGTCTGCCTGGCCAAGGTCGGCTGGTGCACAGACACCTGGCACCTTGGCAGAAACAATGAGGAGGGATGCGAGGCACCACTCCTGAGACCAGGAACCTTTCCCTGTCCCCTCCCCACCAGCTGGCTCTGTCTGTGCTCCTCTCTCCATGGATTCAAATGCACCTACCGAAAAACTCTAGCTCAGACCAAAATGAGCCTGGAGTGGTGCTGTCATCACCGATTAGGGGAGGGGTGGAGCGGCCAGGCAGGTGAGAGGCAGGCACTCTCTGCTCCGTCTGTTCCTTATGATATGAGTGTGCCAGCCTGGCTGCTGTTGGATTGTGGTTTGGGGCAGGGAGGAGGCAAGTGCTGAGGCCCATTATGTGCCATGGGCCTTGTCACTGCTTTCTACAAGCTGTGTGGCCTTGGACAAATCCCTTAACCTCTCTGAGGGCTGGGCTGATGGAAGGATTAGTGGTAATTGGAGTACATACCTCCTTGGTAGTTACAAGGATTAAATGAGATCATATGTGCAAAGCCCTGGGCACAGCGCTGGATCCCCAAACAGTGGCTACGATTATTACTGTTTCCCCAACTTTGTTATAAATTGACAAATTATGATTTTATATGTTTATGTGGTCTAATGTGACGTTTTGCTACACATTTACTATTATTAATATTAATAATAATAAGCCTCCCAGAAACCCTTTAAGTAAGACTTAGCAACCTTATTTTGTGGAGGAAGATGGAGTCCAGCCATGTCCTGTGGGAGAAAGTGGGAGCTGTAGAAAGTAATCAGACACTATCTCCCCCACATCCGTCCACACCCCAGTGCGTACTCCCAGAACCCTTTGCGCCAAGTCCTGTCATGAAGGGACAACCTCCGCCCCGGCAAAGCACCTGTAGGGCTGGCAGCTCGGGACTGGCTTGCGTTCTGGCCCTGCCCCTTCCTAGCTGTGGGACACTGGACGTGTTCCTTTCATTCGTAGTCTCAGTTTCCCCACCTGTCACATGGCTCTCTCATCCTGCCCCGAGTCTCTCCCAGAGCTGTTAGGAAGAAAATGTGAAAATAGTGAATATGGAATGTAAACATGTCTTGTGCACCTTGAAATCTGACTCAAGGTGGCAGATGCTGTCAGCCTCCCCTGGGGGATGGGGAAGTTTGCATTTCTGTCCAGCCCCGGCCGTGCCTGGCAAGCCACAGTGCTCAATCAGTGTTGGCTGAATGGAATCGTGTTCAATGACTTGCTGCCGTGGATATACTTTAGGTGAAGATAGGAAAGGCTCCGGGGGAAGTGGGATGCTGGAGGTCTCGGGATACAGGTAGCCGAGGCTCGGGGAGGCTTTGGCCTGAGAAGCAGGGTTCAAACCCCCGGTAGGCTGCTTTCCTCTTCCCTGCAACACCCCGTCTCACTGGCACCAAGCAACCAGCCTGGTCTGTTCTGTGGCCGGAGAGCGTGTGGGATGGTGGGACGTTTGTCAGGCGCGGCTCTCTGGCTTTGAGCCTTGGTTTTCTCATCTGTTAAGTGGCCAGCTCATACCTGCAGCAGAGCAACAGCGTGAAGCGGGACGACGGAACACTCACCACGTGCCCGGCGATGTGCTGAGCATGTTACTGTGGGATTTCATTTCATTTTCACAACACTGCTGGGAGGAAGATTCTGTTCTTAATCTTCGCTTTAAAGTTGGAGAGAGCAACACCCAGAGAGGTGGAGTAATTTGCCCAAGATCACATAGCAAATGAAAGCTAGAGCCAGGGCTGAAACCCAGCCAGAGCAGCTCCAGTGTTCTCATCTCCACGATCGGCCTCCATCTTTTTCCAGCCTTTGCAAGGGTGGGGCTGACTTCGGGGACCCTCTAGGGAGGGCTAGGGTTCTTCCTGGGTGGGGTCCCCCATCGGGAGGACTGAGGTGGCCTTGTGTTTCTAGGTGGAACATCATGGAAGGCGACTGTCTGAGCTGCATGAAGTATCTGATGTTTGTTTTCAATTTCTTCATATTTGTAAGTATTTCTGGGTCGTCCCGGACCTCTGCTGGGTGGGCAGAACTGGCTACTGCTTTGAAATAGTCACTCTGGGCCAAGTCCCTTGGGTGAGCACAGGGGCCAGCGCTAGAGGGAGGGGTACCTGCCAGCCAGGCTTTCAGAAAGGGAGCCCCCAGCAGGCCCACCCCACTCTGAAGAGCTGACCTTCTTAGGAGAGACATTTTACACAGGCTGCAGGGTGGTCAGCCCCTCTGACAAAGGTGGAGGGGACCTCGGCCCAGCCACTGTCTTGGGATCTGATGCCTCATGGGGAATGGGAAAGGAGGGGATGGGGGTGATCAGAGGGCAGCAAAAGGGAACCCCACCTAACCTTGTCTCCGCGAGCGGTAGATGGACTTCAGAGCTGGAGGGGCCAAGTCCCTGCAGCCGGATCTAATCAGAAACTCCTCTGGGCCTGGAAGACCTGCATTCAAACCCCAGTGCTACATCTTAGCGGCTTCTGCTTTGACACACAGTTCACCTCTCTGAACCTCAGTATCTTCGCCTCTTAATGACCTAACTCAACAGGCTTTTTGAAAATTAAGTAAGATTAGTTTACAAAGTGACCAGGATATGGTCCGGCCTCCAGAGCTTAGCTCCGTTTCCATCTGACCTACGGATTTTGTATATTAAGGGACAGAGGCCCAGACACTCAGGTGGCCCACCCACCTGCTGAGCCCACCCCAGGCTCTGCTCAGACTTGTGGCCCCTCCCAGGAGTGGAGCTGTGGCCCCAGCTTCTTTGGCCCCCACAGGCTTTCCTGGTCCAGCCTTAGCCCTTGATCTTGGTATATCTAAGACCTGGGTGAATCAGCCTTTACTTGCTTCTTTCAGGGCAGGCTCTGGAAAGAGGGAGTCCTCTTTCTGGCCAGAACTGACCTTCTATTTCTGTCTGTCTGTCTTTCCCTCTCTGTCTATCTCTATACCTTTGTGTCTTTTTAAAAAATACACATTTCAGCAACTCCCTTAACTTCTCTTCCCTGCCTTATAATTCTAAAATGCCTCGAGCCTTGCAGACTTGAATTCTAGACCCAAGGCCACCACCTGCCAAGCTGGGTGACCCCGCGCAAGCTCACCCTCCCTCCAGCTCCAGTGTTTCCACCTGAAATGGAGCTGGGCCGTCCTTGAAGCGTTTAGCATACAGTTGCGGAATCCCAAGATCTCCAGCAGCAATAAGGAGGCTCAGGTTTTCCTGGAAGTCATTCTGGGAGACCAGGGAGAGATCCGGCATGACAGGTGGCAAGAACGGAAACTCTGTCGCTGGCCACTCCTGTTCAGCCTTTCCTTCTCTTTCCCCTGCTGGGTCCCTCAGGCCTCAACACTGGACTCCTGCCCTAAGGGCACCTACAAATGCCCCTTGCCCAAAGCCATCAGCTCTCTTCAGCACGCAGTCCTGCTCAGCCAAGCCAAAGCCCAGCAGTTTTCCTATCACCCCACTGTCGACCCTCACACAGGCCTCTGGGGGTCTCCTGTCCTCCCGCCACATGAAGGGATTTCAGATACTTTACAGCCCTAAATCCCATGGTGGCAAACTTTAGTTCTTCTCACAACAGGTTTGCTTCTAATACTTATCCGTGCCTAAGAAAAATGGAATAGGTGGGGCATCGTGGCTCCCACCTGTAATCCCAACAGTTTGGGAGATCAAGGCAGGTGGATCACTTGAGCCCACAAGTTTGAGACCAGTCTGGGCAACACGGTGAAACTCGATCTCTACAGAAAAATACAAAAATTAGCCAGGCATGGTGGCATGTGCCTGTGGTCCCAGTTACTTGGGATACTGACATGGGAGGATGATTTGAGCCCAGGAGATCAAGGCTGCAGTGAGCCATGATCCCGCCATTGCACTCCAGCCTGGGTGACAGAGCAAAACTCTGTCTGAAAAAAAAGGAAAGAAAAATGAAACAGATATTTATTGAAATCTGCTAAACGTCTTCTGTCCTTTCTTCCCTGGGGCTGCCTTAGCCTGTGAGTATTTGAGTCTTTGTTTGACCACAAGGAAGCTAAAAGGCTCAGAGAGGTTATGTTATGCCACTTGCCTTAGGTCACACAGCTCATAAGTGGCACAGCTCTCTCTCTCTAGACTACACTGCCTCATTCCAAAGATAAATAAGGCACGGAGACCCCATGTTGATGGAGACATAAGTCCGAAGGCTTTTGAGCCATGGATTAGAGAGTGGGGAGCCCACTCTCAGGTTGGAACCTCACTGAGAGTCCCGTGGGGGACAGTGACGATGACTTGGTCTGTGTTTTCCTGGCCCCTAGCATGGGTGGTGCTAACACAGCATTGGGCTCACTCAGGACATGTTCATGTACCTTTGTTTAAAGACCTGGGATGGAGCCCTGACTCTGCCACGAACTTGCTGTGTGACCTTCGGCAAGTTGCTGGCCCCCTCTGTGTGGAATCAGAGGGTTGGGCTAGATGGCCTCCTCATCCACAGGTCTGACATTTCAGGAGAAGATGAAATAACCTGTATATGATGAGTGTTTTTTTCAGTAGCCCAGGGTGGGGCCTGGGTCAGAAATTGGATGTAGAGGATGCATCTTACACTTAAGATCACAGCAATTAGAAATATTCAAAACAATTCAAGGCACAGCTGGGACCCACTGGCTCTCACTGCAGATGAATTCTGCCCAGCTCACCTAGTGCTTGACGCCTCTGACCCTGGGGCTGGCTCCGGGAGTGCTGGGTCAGGAGTGCCTAACCTCCCTTTCTCCCTGTTTCTCCTCCCCACTCCTCCACTGGCCCAAGCAGCTGGGTGGGGCCTGCCTGCTGGCCATTGGCATCTGGGTCATGGTGGACCCCACCGGCTTCCGGGAGATCGTGGCTGCCAACCCCCTGCTCCTCACGGGCGCCTACATCCTCCTGGCCATGGGGGGCCTGCTCTTTCTGCTCGGCTTCCTGGGCTGCTGTGGGGCCGTCCGTGAGAACAAGTGTCTGCTGCTATTTGTGAGTACCCCAGCCCCCACCCCACCCATGGGTGCAATGAGGGGTGTTGGGGATCGGCTGTGGACTCCCAGGCTGGCTTCCATTCAGACCAGTGTTTCCCAGGGGCTGTCAAAGCAGAAGGGATCATGGAGACAATCCGACCCTACTCATTCTGGAGTCAGTGGTCCTGAAGCCCTGAGATGTTCAGCAACTAGCCCGGAGTCCCATGGGTGTTGGGGGCGGAGGGGATAAAACAGATGCTGGGCCAGGGCCCCTGCAGTGCCTCAGGCTGCCTCTGCCCATGCCTTTGGGACTGTTTTCTCCCTGGGGCTGCCCTTCCTGTCTCCCACTTCACTTTGCTGCCTGCCTCTAGTCAAGCCAGGGCCCTTGGCTCAAGGCACACCTGGCCTGTGTCTGCATGCCAGGAAACTCAGAATGAGGTTTGAGCCACAGGAACCCACCTCCAGGGGTGGGGCAGTCCCCAGCCTTTTCTGTTTGCCTTAATGGCCCCAGCTTCCAGAGCCTGCTTTTGTACGGGGCCCAGCAGATGAGCTGGCCCAGGTGGAGGGGGCCTTGGTGTCCAGGTCTGAACAGCCAGGCTTCTCCAAGGCATGGTCAACTGAGGTCGCTGACATGGTCCTTGCTGGTTTTCCACTTTCTTGCTTTTAAAAACTATTATGTAACTCCTCAGTAATATCCCTGAAATGGCTAGTGGATGAGGCCTTCCCCTTGGAGATATCCAATTCTGAAATAGGTATGATATGCCCTCTGAAGGTTTCTTATTCTTTAAGCAAATAGCCCTTGAGCTCCTATATGGGCATGTGGTACACTGGGTGCTGGTGGTGTGCCAGTGGCCATGGTCCCATCTCTCAAAACAGGCACAGGGGAGGCAGCTGAGCCATGTGGATGAGCTGGGCAGTGGTCGGGCCTGTTTGGAGTGGACTCCCTGCTCCATCCTCTAAGGGTGCGGCTCCAGCCTAGTTCCTCAACCTCCCTGAGCAGCTGTGTCTTATGCTAAAGACGGGGCCGACCAGCTTTAGATCACAGCCAAACCAGACAAACAGTGAGCATTCTGGTTTTCTAGTCTTCTGGATTCCCCTGGGCGGTGGCACTTGGGGCCTCTGCCTGTTTTCCTGTGCTGGGCGGATGGGTCTTCGCTCCGCTAAGAGGTCCTGGACTTGGAGAACTTCTGGGCTGAGCCCAGTCCCGCTACAGGGTAAGTTAAAACCCTGTTTAGAGAAGTATGCATGTGGCTGGGTCAACTTGCCTATGCTCCTTGTGGGCAGAGCTGAATGACAGGGAGACCTGGGCAGGTCGGCTGGAGGGCTGCCTTGTGAGGTTCTGTAGGTTCACCAGCACCAGCAGTGCTGGGAGGAGAGACTTGGCACCATGCCTCTTCCCCAGACGAGAGCACGCTGCACAGCCCCATTCGTGTCAGAGTGAGATGCCCCCATCCAGAGGAAGTGAAGTCAGCTGCGAAATGAGTGACAGGGAGCCTTGGGCCCATTTGTCCTTCAACAGCGCAAATACTGCAGACCTCATTTGGAGAGAAACAAATAAATGCCTTGAGCGCCCCCTGGTGGACAGTTCTCTACTGCTTGTCACAGTGCTTGCCGTAGTCTTGGCTGGGGAGCCCGAGGGTACTTTAAAAGGAGCTGGAATATGGGTCCCAGGACACGCCCAGCCTCCCTTTCCCCCTCCTCACCTTGGCCCCCAGGGGCTCATTCATTGTTAATGGGCTCGTCTTTGAAGCCAAGACCGGAAGCCAGGCTGGTGTTCTTGGCTGCGAGCAGGCTGGGGTGGCCCTCCAGCCTCCTCCAGTAAGTGGTTGCCTGCAAACCTGCCAGCGGCTGGAGGACGTCCTCCCTCCCATGCTGTGGGAGGCAGGACTGAGACCCAGGGACAGGAGATGTGTCCATAGTCCTCCCGAGAGAACTGATCCTTCCTCAAGGCCTGATGGTAGACTCCCCCTCCCCTCCCTGCCCCGGTCTCTCTCCCTATGTCCCCCTTCCCTCTGCCTCTGTCCTCCCCATTTCTTTCTTTCTTTCTTTTTTTAGACAGGCTCTTGGTCTGTGGCCCAGGCTGGTGTGCAGTGGTGTGATCTCCACTCACTGTAGCCTCGACCTCCCAGGCTCAAATGATCCTCCCACCTCAGTCCCCTGAGTAGCTGGGACCACAGGCATGCATCACCACACCCAGCTAATTTTTGTATTTTTGTAGAGACAGGGTTTTGCCATGTTGCTCAGGCCGGTCTTGAACTCCTGGGCTCAAGTAATCCACCCGCCTCAGCCTCCCAAAATGTTGGGATTACATGCGGGCACCATACACTTGTCCTTGTCTTTCTTTGACCTCTGTGTTTATTCCTACGCCCTTTCCTTGTCCCTGTCCTGATCTCTCCCTCCCCCATTTCCCTGTCTCTCTCTCCACTTCCCTTGCTCGCCTTCCCCTCTCTGAGGCCCTGCCCACACAAGCCTGAGGTCACAGTGTAGGTCACAGGCAGAGGATGCTTGAATCAGGGTCTTCTGGCTTCCAGACCAGGGCTGCCTAGAGGCTCCTGGAATGGACTCAGTTCAAGATTTACCTAAATTTATGTGCAAAATGTTAGCTCTGGGCCTGTGTGTGTGTATTGTGTCTACATGGATTGTGTGCATACTCATGTGTATGTGCATGTGTTTTGTATTTGCGTGTATGTTGTGTTCCATCGTGTGTGCTTATGTGTACATATGTGCACTGCTTTGTGCACATGCACACGTGAATGGGTGTTGTATGTGCATGAGTGTTACACATGTGTGTGTTGTGCATGTGTGTGTTGTGCATGTGTGGGTGTTGTGCATGCATAGGTGTTGCATGTGCATGGGTGTTACACATGCGTGGGTGTTGTATGTGCGTGGGTGTTGTGCATGTGTGAGTGTTGTGTGTGAGGGTGTTGCGTGTGTGGGTGTTTTATGTGCATGTGTGGGTGTTGTATGTACATGGGTGTTGTGCATGTGTGTGTGTTGTGTGTGTGTGTTGTGCATGTGTGGGTGTTTTATGTGCATGGGTGTTACACGTGTGTGGGTGTTGTATGTGCATGGGTGTTACACGTGTGTGGGTGTTGTATGTGCATGGGTGTTACACGTGTGTGGGTGTTGTATGTTCATGGGTGTTGTGCATGTGTGGGTGTTGTGGGGGGTGTTGTGTGTGTGTGGGTGTTGCATGTGCATGGGTGTTACACGTGTGTGGGTATTGTGTGTGTGTGGGTGTTGTGCATGTGTGGGTGTTGTATGTGCATGGGTATTGTGCGTGCATGGGTATTACACATGCATGGATGTTACATGTGTGTGGGTGTTATGTGCATGGGAATTAGGGGGATTCTGTGAGTGTTTCCAGAGAAAGGCACCAAAGTTTCTGGAAGGTTTTCAGAAAGGTTTATGCCCTAAAATATAAGAAAAACCACTTTTCCCTTCCTGGCTGAACCTAGACCTAACTGTGTGGTGTTCCAACCAAAGAGGGCATGGAGTCCCACCCCTGGCAGCTTCTGGGATCCTTCTAGGAGCCTTTCGCTGCCTTCTCAGGCTGTCGTAAGGGAGAGAGGCTTGTCTTAAGAGGGGCCAAAGAATGACTTTAGTCACCCTAAGAAACCTGGCTTAAAGGTTCGCAAAGCACGGAGGCCTTGACATGGGGCTGAGTGTCCGCTTCCCCCTGCTCTGAGACTGAAGTCCCACAGGACCTGGGGACAATCAGTCTAATGACCAGACCACCTAATGATCAATTTGTCTGTCTGAAGATCAATTTTCCGAGTACTTGTGTTGATCTGTATCATAGTACTCACATACACTAGGACACTCTCAGCCTACCATTGAAAATGTGTGGCATCCCTTTTTCCCATTTGCTTACCTCTGAGTATTTGAAGGATTTTTTTAAAGATAGCTTATATAAAAATCCTAATTTTAAAAATATTTTATAATGAAGGCAAGCTAAACTGGAAAAAAAAGAACAGCAAAAAGAGATGAGTATGTTCAAAAAAGATAAATGAGCTGAATTGTACATGCAGTGTGTAAATTTGGTAAATATTTATTAGAAATGGGAGCTGTGAGCAGACATTGCCTATAAGCAGATGGGTTAGAAAAGCCTGGAAATCCTCCCAAGCAGCCAACATAGCACTTTCCTCCCCTTTGCTAATTTTCCATCCTGAGGAAAGGGATGCAAATTAGAGGATGAGGACTGGCTGACAGATGTGTCCTCAGGCAGATGGGATGTCAGCCGTGGGAAGGGCCTTGAAGAGGAAGCCCCAACCATGGCTGGTCCAGGGCAATTCCCCAGAGGACTTGAACACTGGTGAACCATCTGAAGCAGGAGGACATTTTCATGCTGGAGAAGGGCAAGCTGGCGCAAGTGTCATTGTACCTGCTGCGGGCACAGTGGCCTTGCACTCTGATTCACAGGATTCACACTCCCATATACTCAAGTCCCTCCCAGACCCTGTGCTTGGGGAGGCCCACTTCCTCCAGTCCACAGCTCCCCAGGTTTAATCTCCAAGTCCAGGACCTCTTAGAGAAGAGAAGACCCATCCACCAGGCTCATCTCCTCATCATCATTCCATTGATGCTTCAGCTCAGTGGAAACTCCATGAAGATGGGGACTGAGTCTGCCTTGTATGTATTTATTTGCCAATACCTAGTATAGTACCTGGCACAGAAGCAGGTGCACAATAAGCAGGCCCAGAGCCAAGGAATAGAGAGGAGGTGGTGTCAGAGATGCGGCTAAGAGCAGGGACTTCAGAGTCAGAAAAGCCCAGGCTCGAACTTCTGCTCGGCCACTTCCTGGCTGTGTGTCACGGGGCTGGTTCCTTAACCACTCTGAACCTTAGATTCCTGATATATAAAATGAGGACACTAATGCTTCCTTCCCAGCCATAGTGTTGTGTTCACAATCCAGTGGAAAATGCATGCTTTGCTTAGCTCTGTTGGTGAGATGCTTCCTCTGGGCTCTGAGTCACCATCTGAGCAGCTCTCCTGTCCTGCCAGTCTTGTGGGAAGCACCGCACCTGCATTATCTCGTGAAGCCATGCTCAGTCATCCTGGATGGCGCACACACGTCCCACAGTGACAGGCATACTGAGTGCACGAGGCTCGCAATCTGCTTCGTCCATTATTTATGACCGTCCAGGCCGAGGCTGGAGGGCATGCCAGCTCCAGCTTATTGCCGTGGATGGAGACCATTGTTCAGGCTGCTCCTTGCCAGCCTGGGAGCCTGCCAGTGGCTCCAATGAGAGGGCAGAGGGCAGGGAGGGGCTCCTCTTACAGGCCCTGTGTAATGGAAGTGGATGACCATCCATCACCAGCCAAATGGAAGTGCCAGGACCCCTGCCAAAGGCCTCCGTCACTGTCACAGGGAAGGTGAGGCTGCAGAGGCAGAAAATGAATCACTCAGCGGCCACTGAGCCTAGAGCCCCCTAGCCTCCTGGAAATGAAAATTGTAGGAGTGGCAGGATGGACTGTGGGCGTTGTGACCCAGGGGGGCACAGGAGGCTCCCCCGGCCCTGCCCTCATCACATTCTGCTCTGGTTGGGGAACTCTGCTCCCTGGCCTCAGCCCAAGGTCACCCCATCTTCAGGAAGCACAGGAGCATCTGGCCTGGTGTCCCTTATCCAGATGTGTCAGGCAGGCCACCCAGCAGACCCCAGCCAGGCGGCCCACTGACCCATGGGGACAGACTCCTAGACTCAGAAGAGAGTAACAGAGCCATCCCCAAGCCAAGCCTTGCATCAGGGAGGGGACGTAGTCTGACGCTCTGAAAAGCCAGCTGGGTCAGGAGAAGCACGTTCTCTCTGCAAAGCTCCGAAGAAGTCTGCACCTGTGGAGTAGCCATTTCCTTTCTCCTGCTTCAGCTTCCTCAACTTCGAAAAGGGGGAAACTATACCCAGTGCCCAGCCTGTGACAGCAGAAACCTGTGATGGAGGAGCTGAAGCCCGGTGAGACCTCAGGGGCACAGGAGCCCATAGTACCTCCGAGGGCTGAAGCAGATGTTACGTGGCAGCTGGGGATAGAGGCCGGCCAGCAAAGGGCAGGGCCAAGGGTGGACACATCCCCACTGCGGGCTGGCCGCTCTGTTGAAGCAAGTGGCTCTCCTTAGGTTTGGAGATTTAAAAAATGAAAACCCACTTGCCAGGCTGCAGAGATGCTTCCTGTGCATGTGCTGAAAGGGCAGATTCTACGCCCCTCCCAAGCCTCTCACTCAGGTGGTCCCATGCCCTCACAGTTTGGAGAAGCCCCGGGACCTCTAGAAGGCAGCTGCTGTGGGCGCTGAAAAGTCGGAGCAGGAATTAGATTGAGTTCTCCCTGGGGTGGGGATAAAGTGGCAGGAATCTTCCTCTGACCAAAGAGGCACATTCCAGGCGAGAGACATGTGAAGGTATTGCCAGCAGCCCACAGAGCATCTGTGAGGAGGCTGGTCGCCAGGAGCCGGGCCTCGGAGGTCACAGAGGAGGCTGCCCGTGGCCCGCATTCACTCCCCTTCTGCATCTGAGAGCTCACCACCAAGCTCTGCGTGGGCTCATTTCCAACAGAGGAAATGCTTTCACATGCGTCGTGATTCCCCATGAGGAACCCCCGGAAGAGGGTCTTGATATTCCCATTTTGCTGGCAAGAAAACTGAGGCTAGAAGGGGTTGGTTTGAGTGACTGTCCCATGACACACAAGGACAGACAAGGCGGTGAGGTATCCTGAGTTGAAGCCCAGCACCCTTTGCCTCCTTCCAGCCTGACACATCGGGGGGCAGGCGGGCAGTTCTGAGGACTGGGACCCCAGAGAGCAGGTCTGGCCACACTGCCTAGGTGTCTGGGAGGGCATGGAAGAACCAGTCTGTGGGTGTCAGGCTTAAAGTCCTCTGCTGGTGGTTTCCAGGTAGGGTGAGCACGGACTTTGTCAACAGCACCAGCTGTGCTGAGTAATGAAGGCAAAGCCAGTTTCTTCTGTTGACTGCTCTTGGCCCAAAGGAACCCACACAATGTCCTGGGCCAGTGACGCAGCAGGTCATAGGACCTTCATGGCAAGTGCTCTGCCTCGGCCTCGTTCATCCATCTAAGAGTCCTGTGTTGACACCTGGGTTGACCCAGGCATCCGGGAATGCAGCACACTGAGGGACAGCCCTTGTGCTAATGCCATGCAAGCACCTCCGTTGGGCACTGTGATGTGGGGGAACCTAGGAGAGGGGGGTTCTCTTTGCTTAGAAAAGTCAGGAAAGGCTCCTCACCAGCAGAGGCGTGGAGGCTTCACCTGATCTGGAGAAATAAGGAACTGGTGGGCAAGGAAGGGCGGTGCCTTCCTGGCAAAGGTAGCACAGCCTATGAGGTCCCCGAATGAGAGGCACTGTGGTTCATTCAGGGAGCATCAAAGTCAGTGAGTGGAACAGTAGACTGTGTTAGATACCAACCTCCTGGGCCCTGGGTCTGAGGTCTGGTAGTCACACCGTTTGCCCTCCAATCTTGTTCCTTGAATTTTGGCTGAAGGTCAATGTGACCTCCCCACTTCCCATGAGAACCAGAGGCAGTAGGGCAGGGAGAGGTGGCCCTGGGGTGGCAGGGTGGGGAAATCCACATGGGGATCCCCAAAGCACTCAGGATTCTCACAGCCCATACAACCCACGCGGAAGGAAGCATACCCAGAATGGGCTCAAACAGGTTTCATCAGCGATCTCCTTCCAGGGTGGCTGCGTAGGGTTGTTCAGGCTACACACTGCACAAGGGGCTCTCTAAGGTATACCATTTGCATGGAAGGTATGTATTTGTTTACTTTTTTCATATTTTGATCACAATCCTGTTGACTCCAAGGAGGGATCCCTGGTGTGTTTGTTATGAAGATGTCTGACTGATAGCAGTGGAGTGTCTTATCTTACGAAATGAGTATACCGTGTCACTGGTAAGGCAGATGGATGGATGCACTGGCCAGTGACCGCCCCATCCCTGCCTGCCCTCTGGGCTCACGAGCCTGCTCCTCTCCCTGCAGTTCTTCCTCTTCATCCTGATCATCTTCCTGGCGGAGCTCTCAGCAGCCATCCTGGCCTTCATCTTCAGGGAAAATGTAGGTACCAGTCCCCACGATTTCCTGCCTCCTGCTGTCAGCAAGAGCTTGGTGGCCATTCAGGTCTGGCTCCTCCTCTCCTTGAAAGGCCTCAGAGAATGAGAAGCCTCTCATCTGGTGCTTCCAGGCCAAGTCATGGCCCCCCTGCCTGGCAAGGCCCCACAGACCAGAGAGACCCCATCAAGCTTGTTCCTGCAAGGGCATTTCCCAAGGGGCAGAGTCAGGAGGCGCTGAAGGGTCTCTGCTCCCAAAGCATCTGGTGCAACTCCATACCTTACTCTGGAAACGTCCCTTCCACACCTTGCCCAGTGGCCCAGTGATAGCTAGACAGTCAGGACAGTCAGAGAGGCTGTCCCATGCCCTGGAGGATAGGAGCGTGTAGGAGCACAGGGCAGACTGCTCTCGGAGGAGGCCCTGGCTGGGTACCTTGGCCCCACAGGCCACCATGTTCCAGAGGCTACAGGTGGCTAGGGTGCCAGCTGCCTCTCCTGCGTTGACAAGAGCCAGGCACCATAGCCAAAGGGAGCCTGGGTCGGGGGAGGGGAGGGTAGAAGGGGAAAGAGGGGAGGGAGGAGGGACAATGGGGCAGGGGGAGGGGGAAGAGGGGAGGGACTTGGAGCACTGGGCAGGAGACACAAGATGGCCCTGGGGTGGAGGTGGTGGGGGTGGGGAGGGCAGTTCAGCACAGAGCAGAGGAGGAGGCCACCACAGCCTGTGGGCAGAGAATGGTGCCCAGATGGTCTCCTCTGCTGGGCACCACCCAGGGCCCTAGCCTTTCACTGCAGCAGGAGGGAGGGTAGTTAGACCTTAGCAGAATATTTTGAGAGTAAGAGAAACTTAGGAGGACTCCTCTGGAAACTGATACACAAAGCCTTCCCGTGCGGGTCCCTAGCTTCTTCAGGGCCTGGGACCCAGGGCATCTGCTTGGCTCTGTCTGGGGAGCAGCTCAGCATGGAAGGAGTGGGGTGAGGGGCAAACTCCCCACCCAGATAAGCCCTCCCTCTTGGCAGAGCTGCAGGCAGAGCTGGGGCCTGACCTTGGCTCTGCCGAGGTGTATGTGTATATAGACTTCCTTTCTACACTGAGGGTAAGGAGCCTGCCCCAAGTTGGTGGTTTAGGGGAATCCCAGGGGGCCTGGCACCAGGATATGGAGCCCCTAGCTCTCATTACCCCAACTCCCAAGCATGTGGATGGAGAGACGAGGGAGGGTGGGGCTGCACCCAATGGCCAGGCCCCAGCCCATCTTCTCCCTCTGCCCCCAGCTCACCCGAGAATTCTTCACCAAGGAGCTCACCAAGCACTACCAGGGCAATAACGACACGGATGTCTTCTCTGCCACATGGAACTCGGTCATGATCACAGTGAGTGACCCCCCAGAGATGCTGTGAGCATTCAGAGCCACGGTGCCCAGTGTTCACATGCCCACACCAGGCATCAGTAATCAATCCAGGCACTGTCCCATTGATCACAGACTTGGCCTTGGAATCGGCATCCACACAGCATTCCAGGCAGCCATGCCATTTGATCACAGTCCCTACTCGGGATGAAACCGACTTGCTATCCCTGTCTTGGGTCCCCAAGCAATGGTCATTATCATGATGATCATAACCAGAGCACCTGTTTATGGAGAGCTATGCCCAGTGAGGTAGGAATTGTTACTGCCACCCCTGTTATAGAGCTGAGGGCACTGAAGGCCCAGAGAAGCCGATTGTCTTTCTCATGATCACACAGTGCGGACAGGTGGAGCCAGCCCACACCCAGCCTTCTGATGCCACTCCTTTGCAGAGGCTGTCTGTCCTTCTCTTCCCCTGCCCCCTTTCCCGGCGCCTGCCCACCAGACCCTTCTCTCGGATCTCCCCCTAGTTTGGTTGCTGTGGGGTCAACGGGCCTGAAGACTTTAAGTATGCACCTGTGTTTCGCCTCCTGACCCTGGACAGTGAAGAGGTGCCGGAGGCCTGCTGCCGGAGGGAACCCCAGAGTCGGGACGGGGTCCTGCTGAGCCGGGAGGAGTGCCTCCTGGGAAGGAGCCTGTTCCTAAATAAGCAGGTACTGGCCCTGCTCTCCAGGCAGGGGAGCGGGTCTATGGAGACTTGGGTGGCCAGAGCTGGGTGGGAGGTGATATCACCCCAGGGGGTCTGAAGCTACCCCAGGAATCCCAGGGAAGTGTTGGCCATGATATGAGATGCCTGCACCTGAACAGGGGCTGATGGAAGCTCTGTCCAAGCCCCTGAGATACAACCAAAGTGGGGAAGGACGACAGTGGGAGACTGCGGCTGGAGTGGGCATTTGGGCTGGGGCTAAGGGTTAAGTAGGAGTTTTCCAGTGTTTCCTGAGTCTCTGATAATGCAGATCCAAAGGGAGGAAGGGGGACAGAACCAGAATTACACAGTGGGGGGCCCTTCTTAGCCAGGCACTGTGTTTTGGAGGAAGCTCTCATTTGCCATGTGGACTTGCCCTAAGGATGAAAGATCTCCTTGACCTGACTCTCCAAGGTCAGAGAAGCTCCTAGACTTTTCTGCGTCTCTTGCCATCTCAGGACTTCATCTCAGCCCTGGAAGAAGCCCTTTCCCTTCCTGCACGTGCCATTTCTAGGGAAAACCAGGGCCTGGCTTTGTGTGCCTCCTGCCCCCTCCCCTCCCCCCGCCCCACTATGAGTTCACAATGCCTTTGCTCTTTTTTTATTTTGAGACAGATTTTTGCTCTTGTTGCCCAGGCTGGAGTGCAATGGCATGATCTTGGCTCACTGCAACCTCCGCCTCCCAGGTTCAAGCGATTCTCCCACCCCAGCCTCCTGAGTAGCTAGGATTATAGGCGTGTGCCACCATGCCTGGCTAATTTTTATATATATATTTTTAATAGAGATGGGGTTTCAACATGTTGGTCAGGCTGGTCTTGAACTCCCAACCTCACTCAGGTGATCCACCTGCCTCGACCTCCCAAAGTGCTGGGATTACAGGTGTGAGCCACTGCGCCCAGCCAATGCCCTTGCTCTTAATCCCCTTCTTCCCACTGAGCAGCCCCCACCCTGCCAGTGTGGGTGTGTGACCAGGCTAGGCAGGAGGAGAGGGAGGGAGACGACAAGGTTCATCTAAGCCTGGACGCTGGGCCCCTTGCTTGATTAGGACTTTAACGAGAGTCTCATGGAGAGTTCAAGATGCAAGAGACACAGCAGGGGACAGGAGACAAGGCCCCTGTTCCTGTGAGGCTCACGATCTTGTTAGAGGAAGCACAAGATGAACAAGCCGCAAACAAACGAGAAGCCATCATTTCACATGGTCATGATGGTGCAAAGAAATAAAACCAGACGGGGGCTGGAACAGGCCTGGGGCAGGGGCTCAAGACAGGCCCTGCAGAGTTCCAGAGGAGGTGACAGTCAGCAGAGGCCTGGGTCCTGGGGCTCTGATGGGCCCTTTCCAGCCTCAGCTCTGCCCCAGGAACTCAGCACCTCTGGCCCTGGCACCTGCTCATGGATTCATGAGGATTCATGAGGCCCTGAGGACCACATTCTCTCTGTCCGTCATCATCCTGCCTTCCTGCACTGGGGAAAGACACTCAAATAGAGAAATGAGGGCCCTGAGTCAAGGCCACTGTGGACTTGGGGCAGAGAGAGTTTCCCCAGGGGCTAGGTCCACAGAGACCTTCGGGGGAGCAGCTGCAGGGTGGGGAGGTAAGTTTCAGGCTTCGATGGGGGGAGGCTGTTAACTGTTGCGTTGCCTTCGCCAAGACACCCTCTCTGGACCTCAGATTCCTCAGACTGCTGGCTGCCATTCCATGCTCCATTCACCCCTACTCTCTTGGGAAGAAAAGGTTTATCACACCATGACCACCAACTAGAGGCTGCGCTTCCCAGCATGCCTTGCAGCGAGACCATGTAACCCAGTTCTGGCCAATGGGAGGCGAGCAGGGGTGATTTGTGCAACTGAGTCTCATCCTTAAGAGAAAGTGCTGTGCCCACCCCTCCCATTTTCCCGGGCTGGGACCTGGCAGAGGGAGGTAGCCCCTAGGATGGCAGAGCATCCATAGAGAAGGAGCCGGGACCACCGACAGTTCTACGGCGCAGAGCAGCCACCATAGCGTGGGGTTTTATGTGAAAGACAAATGAATTTCGAACTTGATGAACGAGCTGTTGTTTGGGAGGCCTGTTGCCAACAGCCAAATTTAGAGCCTTCTAATGCGACTTGTAAGTTTCAGGAGGTTTCCCTTGGGCGCCATTCTCTGCTTCAGATAGGTTTCTCATTTCTGGGCTCATCCTCTCTTGGGAGGCCTCCTTTCCTCTCCTGGGCAGTCTTTAAAACCAGAGCTCATCAGAGAGATCCCTGCCAGTGACTGTGCTGTTCCTGAGGATCTTCTGAGATTGACTCCTGGGGTTCCTTTGCTGAGACCTTCATGTCCCTCCTGGGCATTTCTTCCCGTTAAAAACCTGCTGCTGTGGGACTGCCTCTATTTGTCTTTTTCTCCAAACCACGGGATACATTTTTTTCTTTTTTGAGATGGAGTCTGCCTGTCGCAGGCTGGAGTACAGAGGCACAATCCCAGCTCACTGCAGCCTCCACCTCCCGGGTTCAAGCATTTCTCCCACCTCAACCTCCCAAGTAGGTGGCACTACAGGCGTGTGGCCACCACGCCCAGCTAATTTTTATATTTTTTGGTAGAGTCGGGGTTTCACCATGTTGGCCAGGCTGGTCTCAAACTCCTGACCTTGAGAGATCCACCCACCTCAGCTTCACAAAGTGCTGAGGTTACAGGCGTGAACCACTGCGCCCGGCCCCAGAATGCATTTCTGACTTCGCTGGCAGGCCCGTGGCAAGGATATAGGAAGAGTGAGTTTGCTGTGGGGGTTGGAGTGGGGGCGAGGTGTGCAGGGATGCATGGCGTGGCCATAGGGGCACCCTAGCTCTCTCTGGCCAGGGATTGGCGGTGGTCCTGGGTGGACAGGGGGCTTTTACACTGGTCCCAGTGAGAAAGGGCAGCAGGTGAGAACAGGGTGATAGCGGTGAAGACAGAGAGGTGTGTGCATCTGAGAAATGTTCAGGAAGCAGAATCTACGAGCCTTCCTGATGGATCCTCTTTGGAGGAGCGGGTACGAGGAGATGCTGAGGATGACTGGTTTCTGGTTTGGGGAAGATCTTGCATTCAGTCTAGGGCATTTTAGTGGAAAAAACCTTTGGAGGCCAGGCACAGTGGCTCATGTCTGTTATCCCAGCACTCTGGGAGGCTGAGGCTGGCAGATCACCTGAGGTCAGGCGTTCGAGACCAGCCCAGCCATCATGGAGAAACCCCTTCTGTACTAAAAATAGAAAAATTAGCCTGGCGTGGTGGCATGTGCCTGTTATCCTAGCTACTTGGGAGGCTGAGGCAGGAGGATCACTTGAACCCAGGAGGCGGAGGTTGAGTGAACCGAGATCATTCCATAGCACTTCAGCCTGGGTGACAAAGTGCGATTCCATCTCATAAAAAGAAAAGCCTTTGGAACAGCCAAGCAGAGGTTCCCAGTGGGCAGTCGGGTGTATGGGGTGGAGCTGGAGGGGGTTGGTGCTGGAGATACACGTGGGAAGAATTGCATGTGAGTGACCATGATGGTGGCAGCCGGGCCTGGCTGCCCCTCGTCAGATTCGGTGGGGGGTGACTGTGGGTGGCAGCTGGGGGCAGAGGATGTGCCCACCTGGTAGAGAGGGAGAGGGGCGCTGGCAACAGCCCACATGGTTGGAGGACTGATAGTCTGTGGTGCCAGGCTGGGGAGAGAAGTTCCTCGCCATGTATCTCACCTGGTGGTGGCGGGAAAGCATTGTGGAGGGGAGATGATGAGCAACAGTGAGGTGATCTCCAGGTGTGTAGATGTAAGTTCAGGCTCCAGCCAGCGGCCTGGCCCATAGGAGGGAGAACCCAGCTGCTCATGCCAGCCCCACTTCCCTTTAGAACAGAGGAAAGGGTGGGAACTTGGAATCCGCCTTCTTCCCCTGGCTTCCCCTCCTCATATGTGATCTTGAGCAAGTTAGCCACTGCTCCTCCCTCCCTGTTCTCATGGGTAAAAAGCAGATAAGACCCCTCCTCCCTGAGGGGCTGTAATGAGGATCAATTGAGAAAGAGCCCATGAGGCCCTAGCAAAGTTCTCAAGAGAACAGACACCTGCTCAGCTCGGGTGGTGTCACCCCATCCACGCACCAACTCCCCAAGGGTGTCTGTGTTCCTGGGAAGCTTCCTTTGGCCAACCTGGGCTGCTTGGCTGAGTCCAGGGGCCTGAAGGGTCTTTGGTGCCAAAGCCTGATTGGGGAAGATGAGCTGTCAAGGCCTAGGTGCCACACAGCAGGGCTTGGCTTCCCTCTGCTGGACAAGGCCTCCAGCTTCTTGTCCACTTCCCCAGGTGAGGCATGTCAAAGTCAATTTCATGCTTGGGAAGGGTTTGCTGCTTGTCCTGTCCCGTGTGTGTGTGTGTATGTGTGTGTGTGTGTGATTGTCTTGCAATGACACCCAACTCTATGCTCAGACACTTTCCACCACTCAGGATATGCTTAGAGAGCGGCACAGAGGGGCGGCCAGTACTCCTTGGTAATCCTAACGGGTTGAGATTGGGAGCTTGCTACCTGCCATCACTCTTCCTAGTGCCTTACCTGCGGTATCTCATTTTATCCCCACAGCAGTCCCATGAGGTAATTAATCTACCTGGCCCCACTGTATGGATGGGGCAACTGAGGCATAGAGAAAGGAAGTAAATAGCCCAAGGTCACACAGCAAGCAAGTGGCAGAGCCAGCTGGGACCCCAGGCAGCCAGGCCCCAGGGCCCACCTGTAACCATTGCCAGACCCCAGTTTCCTGGGTCATTGCTGCTTTCTGTCCTGGCAACCCCTGGAAAAGCTTCACAAACCCAGGGGTGTGCTGGGGCTGCAGGAGGTGGGATAATGTGCCTGTGGCTGGGAGGCACGTGCAACACTGAGGGGATGATGGGAGGGCGGAGGCGGCCCCTCCCAGGACTGATCCCGAAACCATGCAACTCTGCAGCTCATCTCTCTTGCCTTCCCTGCAGAGCAGGTTAGCTTTTTTGCTGTTATAGTTCTGCATTTTAGGGTTCTGATGCTTCAGAATTGCTTAACAAAAGATTTGAGGCTCCAACATGGGTTTGTTGGCAGATCCAGGATGGCCCCTGGGCCTCATGGAGTGGATGGGCCAGCCCTGAAGGGACCTCCAGCCACACTGATGTCCTGACCTGGCCTGGGGTAGGGACCCCTGAGCCACACTTAGGGCTCCGTCCCAGTCACACAGCCCTTAACTGAACTCCCAGTGCCACAGCAGAGACAAGGCCGGAATAGTCAATGAAGACCTTTTCTCCTGGTTGGCATCTCTGGGCTTGAGGTCTTTCAAACCCTGGCCACAGCTTGGTCACTAGAAATTACCCTGGGCATCGTCCCATAATGCTGATTCCTGGGCTCCAAGCCGGACTCACTGATCCAGTGTTGTGGGGCGAGGCCTTGGCATCTGCATTGCTAACCATTTCCCAGATTACTCCAAGCACACTCAGCCCTGAGAGGGTCATGCACCCAGATCGTTGTGCTGGTAGGGTCTGTTTCTATCTGGGTATATCCTGTTTGCCCCATGGGGCTCCAGAAAGGGCTTTTTGGGGCCTTCCCCACCCAGCTCCTGGTCAGCTTCCAGGCAGGTGCTAGGATACCACCAGGCCACTCATCCCAGATCAGGCCCCGCAGTCCACCTGCCTGGGCGCAGCCTTAGAGCAACTTTTGGCCAAAGGGGCCAAGCTTTTGCGTGATGGACAATGGAAGTGAGCACCCAAGAATCCCGGTCTCAACAGAGGCCAGCAGTAGCAACCGCCACCCAACAAGGGCTGGGCGTGATCAATCCATCCCCACCTGGGGACTTGTTCCCGTGCACGTTCCTATAAAGAAAGGAAAGTTCTCCCACTTTGAGAATATGTGCCATGCATCAGTGTCTGCGGTCAGCATGGGAGAGGGGAGAGTGATGAACATGAAGATGACGGTGGTGTGAGGTGCTCAGGGTCAGATGGGGCAGCAGCCACGGACTGGCAGCTCCTGGAATGGCACTGACTTGCTTTTTCTCTGTCTCCCCAATCCCCACATCACTCTGTTTATCTCGATCTCTGTCTCTAGTCTCTGTTCCAGTTTATGTATCTCCGGGATTGCTTAAGAAAGCAGTAAGAGCATGGGAATTAGGTCCAGGGCCTGTGGGCTGGGCTGGTCCCAGAAAGCTGCCCGAAGGAGGTAGAACACAAGCAGGGTTTTGAAGGCTGGGTTATGTTTGCTTGGGGAAGTGGCTGAAAACTGGAACTCCTTCTGCAGCCAGGAACAGTAGAGGGGATGGGGGTGGGACAACAGGGAATGGGGGGGTTAGACCCCCAGGGAGCACCTGCTGCATCTGAAGGCAGCTGCTGATAGGCTGATGTGAAAAGGATGGTCCCCTTGCTGGTTCTTCTGATTTTCCCAGAGCAGCAGGAAGTCCAGATCTTTATGGGAAATTTCCCAATATTCCAATCGCTGTAGTAGTGATATAAGACAAGGCCCGCACCCTGGCAGGTCTCTGCCCCCCTTAGGGGCCAGGTGGCAAGGAGAGTCTTTGGTACAGTGCTGCCAAGTTGCTATTTCTGTGTCTCCTGCCCTGCACCGTCCCCCCTCCACTGTTCTGTCCCAGCAGCCAACAAACGAAGAGGGTAAGAGGGGCTACCTGCCAGGAACCCTAGTCCACATGCTGGACTCTGACTGCAGGACTCTCCCCACTGGCCACAGCCTCACCTCCTGTCCCTCCCTCCCAGGGCTGTTACACAGTGATCCTCAACACCTTCGAAATGTACGTCTACCTGGCCGGAGCGCTTGCCATCGGGGTACTGGCAATCGAGGTAAGTAAAGGCCCCACTTCTGCCACTCCCCAGGACAAAGCCTGACATGGAGCCCAGGCAGATCCCCATGGCTTGCACCCCCAGCACCCCCCTCTCCATTTCCTTCACCTGAGACCCAAGGCCCGCCCCCTTGGGCACTATGGGGTGGTAAGCCCAGCTGTTTCTCTGCTGCCTGAGAGTCATTCTTGAACTCTGGAGATGAAACCTGGGAGCCAGTGTCCCAGAAGTGGGGATGAGCAGGCCCTGAGGGTCATCCCACTCCATCCCACTCCCTCCCACTTCCCATCCCTCCCACCTCCACCCTGGCTCCATGGTCCAGAGAAATTCCATGCTTGCAGAGGGATCTGCACAGCTGCCTGTGGTTCGAGATCAGGCCTTTTCTCTGTGGGGTGCTCAGGGCCTATGGGGCTTTTTCATCCACAACGGTGGTCTTAGCCTCCTTTACCTGAGGGCGCCAGAGTCCCCTTGAAAGGTGAGCTCCTGCAGACCCTTTGCAACTACCACTAGGTGGCGCCTCAGCCAAAGGGATGAGCAGCCGCCTCCAGTCTCCAACCTCTGGGATCTCCTTCTGGATATCCAACTTGCAGCTCCAGGGGCCTGGACAGAGCGTTTCCCACACCTGACCAACCCCAGGAAGAGGCCCTCTGTGGTCTCAGCCAGCCCTCGGCCTGCGGGGGAAGGAAGTCAGGCAATCCAATCCTCAGCTTCCCCTGCAAGCAGCCTGGGACCCTGGCACCATGAACTTCGCCTTGCCGGCTTTCCCACTGTTTCTGCAGCCCCACGGACTGCAGCTTCGGAGAGGCTATTGGCGATGGCAGAGGGGAGGGGTCATTTATTATTCATTCATGTATTCAACAAGCATGCATTGAGCCCTACTCCGTGCCAGCACTGTTATAGGTAAACAAGTCCCCTCATGGGAGGCAACAATGAACGAGATAAATCTGCATCAAGCCCCAGGGAACTCTCAGGAATGTGCCCCATGCAGGAAGAGCATAGGCCCTACAGTCCAGCTCCAAGCTCTGCCTCTCCAGAGGCAGGATGTCTGAGCCACAGTTTCTTCATCTGCAAAATGGGCTGGTCACCCTGCTACCAGGGCACAGAGGGATTACAGATGGCAGGGACAGCATACCGCTGGGACTCGGGAAGCAGCATTCATATACTAGATCGGCTGCCTCACTCCCAGCCCAGCCCACGAGCCCAGCTGGCCAGCCCCATGGGAGGCAGAATCTGGTTGAAGACGGACACCTTTATGTGGTCCTGTCCTGGCCGTCCCTCTCCACCAGTGAGCCTCCTGGTGATGTGGCCATGACCTGTGGTCTAGGGACTATTCCCTCAGCTACTTGTAAAAAGAGCTCGGGCTGTGGGGACATCAGCAAATTTGGTCAGAGTCCCTGAGCTAGGGTCTCCCTGCCGCGGCACCCCAGGGCCCTCAGACAGGCGTTGAGGGATGAAGCACCTAACTCCAGGAAGGGCTGCAGCTGCCTGCCTATTCATAGCAGCCCTGGGAACCTTTTACTGAGCATCTACTACGTAACAGGCACATTACATCATTAAGCAATTGCATGACACTTAAATCTCACCACCTTCCTATGAGCTGGAGGGGAGCCTCCAGGGGCTGTGAGCACGGGCTCTGCAGTCAAAATGCCCAGACTCAAACCCCAGCTCCCTTGCTGGTGGCTGTGTGACCTCAGGCAGGTTATGTACCTCCCAAGAAAGCACTTAAAGCCGTGCCTGGGACATGGCCAACTCTGGATACATACTCCGGCCCAGAGAAGGGAAGTGCTTTGCCTAAGGTCACCCCTGTAAGCCAGGGAGCTGGATTTGAACCCAAGACTCAGTTTCTAAAGTCCTCCTGGTCCATGACTCCACCACATAAAGGAAGCCAGGTAGGGGCTGGTGAGAAGGACTGGCCCCAGGGGATCCTGAGAGGAGGAGTGTGCTAAGAGTGACAGGCATTCACTCCGTCCCTGAGGCGGATGGCCCCTTTCCCTGGAGTGGGCCTGGCAGCCCACAAAGGGCCCAGCCTGATAAGCCAGTTCCTGCCTTTTTTCTTTTTGCAGCTTTTTGCCATGATCTTCGCCATGTGCCTCTTCCGGGGCATCCAGTAGAGGGTGTGGCCTGAAGCCTGAAAACTCACCCTGCCCGCCACTGCCCAGCACCCGATGCCCTCCCCTGCCCTTCTTCGCTGCCTTCTTGGCCCCAGAGGAGAAGATGAGGCCATCATAGATGGTCAGGAGAAGGGGCCAGGGGAATAAAGCTATTTTTTTAACAAAACAAAATGAATACAAAAATATGGACTGAGGTATCCTCACCTGGAGTCGGGGCAGGTGCTGTGGACTCTCCACAGAGACCCCAGCGCCTGGCCCAGGACGGAGGCTGCTCTAGAGACCAAAGGAACACCAGGCCCCATGCCCTCCTTGGTCCATCCAGACCCTGGCCCCTCCCTCCTCGCTGCTCCAGGACCTGATGCCAAGGAAGTGAGGATTTAGGCAACAAGGAAGGAGGCAAAAGCCAATCTCCGAGAAGTCATCAAAGCCCAGGGGGCCCCACGGAGACTCAGCTGCCATGGATTGTCCCCGCTTCAGGCCAAGGCCAAGAGTGAGCTGCTGACACAGCATTCAAGAATGGCCCAGCTGGCAGGATGTCTGCTTTCCCCTTCTGTTGGACCAAATAATCTCAAAGGCCCAGAGAGGGGCAGTGACCCATCCACAGACACAGCACAGGCGTGTGACGGTTCTGAAAAGCAGCTGAGTTGTCTGCAGGCGGCTGTCACGGCATCCGGGACTGTCAGTTCTGCTGTTCGCATGCGTCCCTGGCCTCAGCATCCCGGTTTCCCCAGAGAGAGGGCAAGCTGGCCAGGAACTGCCTCATCCCTTCTCTACAGCTAAGAAAACTCCATTCCTTGACTTCCCACCGCACCCTCCCTCCCACCTCCCCACAGCTCTAAGTCCCCAGGAACACACACAAGGCTGCACATCACATCCCCTTGTCCACACTGCCCGCCTGCCTCTCCCCACAGGGAAGTCCACTCCCTTCCCTGCCCTTCCCCAACTCCCCAGCTCCCAGAGTGGAAGAAATCCCCAAGGTCATCTGGGTCTCCCTCTCCCCATCCAGAACTGAGGCTTGAAGATCCTTCTTCGAGCTCCTGGCCAAGACTTCTCCACCCACTCGCATACCTCTAGGACAGAGCTTCCTACCTCCCAAGGCAGCCTCCTGCCTTTGGGCTGCTCTGACTCGGCATCAGCTTCATATACAGAAGAGGCTCCATCCACGGCATCCCACTTGCCTGCTCTCCTTCCTGGTGTTAAGGTCCCCTGAGCCCTCTTCTCTCCAGGCTAAAGGCATCGAGGCCATTTCTGCTGCAACAAGGCTTCCTGTCTCTTCACTGTCCACACATTTCTTAGTGTTCCCTCCAGGCTTGGGCAGGGAGACTCACAGTTGCACACCCACAAGTATTCAGGCCTCAAATTCTAGACAAATGTTGGCACCTGGACTGCAAGATGCCCCTATCCTGATAGATCAGGGGTGGCTGCTGGAGACTGTGCTGGTATCCGAGGCTTGGTCTGGGCTCAGTGGGAGACGGTGGTACAATCCTGATGAGTGATATCTGCCAGGCACAAGTATGATTAGTGATGTCTGCCACGGGCAGGGATAGAAGGAACAGTGTGAGGTCTTCTCTCTTCTCTCCCCTCTGTCCCTCTTCAGGAAGAGCTCATTCTGTCTCACAAGCCACCAGCACCCTATACCAGTTTCCAGCCTCCCCTTGGGCTTTCCAGCCACCAGGGACACACGGAGTTACAGCCTAGAGCCCAGTGTTCCCCAGCCTGTACCACCTGGTCCCTTTTGAGATGCAGCCAGAAGCTCTGCACCTGCTGCAAAGATTCAGGCAGACCATCCTCCCATCTCCTGCTATGCCCACCAGTGCTAGCCCTCCCACCAGGTCTCTGAGCTCAGTCTTCCCAAACTGTCCCTTTAACAGCTGCTCTGGCGACCCCATAAACGTCACCTGAGCTCCATAGAAGCTAAGCTCCCAAAACCCAGGGGGACCTGCCAGTGGTACTGTGGGCCAGCCGGGGAAGGGCCTGGTGCCTGCTTCTCTTGAAGCACCCACATGCTTTGCTCCAGCTTCCTGGAAGAGGCAAATGGCTGGTCTGAAGATGACAAGCAAAAACCAACCCAGGCTGGGCAGGACTGAGGCAAATGGCACAGTTTTATGGCTCTAATCTGGGGACATCCCAGGCTTCTGGGGCCCATACAAGCTAGAGGGAGGACCCAGGAGAATGGGCCGGTCATGGAGGAAAATCTGGCTAAGATGGGTTCATGGGCAGATACAAGACTGCTCCTCGACAGCTTCCCACAAATGTGCCAAGGAACCCTCAATCAGCCCAGATTCAGCTCCCAGCCAGCCGCTGGCCACCCTCTTAGCCTGGAAAGGGAAGACAGGAAGTTTCTGCTCCTGTTGGCATCTGCTTAGGCTGGTAGCTATTTGCAAGGCTGCCTGAGGCCATTTCTTGGAGACAAGGCAAAGAAAGCTCAGCGCAAATCAGGCTTGAGCCTCCCTCCAGAGCACGGGGAGGCACAGGGTTCAGCTGGCTCGGTACAGATACAACTCACAGCAGGTTCTGGTGGTGGCTGCGGGTGGAGGAAGAGTGGCAGGGATGCCTCTTCGTCTCTTTTCACCCCAGAATATGACAGTACACAATAGAGACTTCCTTGGACCTCACTAACAGGGTAAGGAACAAGACTTATACCACTCATCACACACGCTGCCCTGTATTGAAAGCCACTTTCCTGCTCTGAAGCTACTGGCTGGTGGAGAAAGGGAACATCTCTTTCCCTTTTGGAGAAAGGGCTGGGGGTGAGGGCCCCTCTCCAGGTCCCTGTTAACTTCTAGTCTTGGTGCTCAGGCCTTTCCTCAGCCTCCCTCGTCCATCTGTCTATCCATGAGTAAGGGGCCCAGACAGGATTCCCCAAACCAGACGAGGCCCCAGCACCCCGTCTCCCTGGAAGCCCCCTCCCCCCTCCCCCGTGGGTCATACGTTGAAAGTCTATTTTAAAAGCTGTCTATGCTCCCTGCGGTAGATTGCAGAGCTCATTTATCATGTTTCTCTCCTGTGAGCCCCCTTTTATATGATCTATCCAGAGGAAGTTTTGTAATATAAAACAGGACGCCCACACAGATGGTTTTGCACTGGTTTTTGTGACTGTTTCTTACAAAAAGAAAAAGGAACAAAGAATAAATAGTGACCGTGAAGAAAGGTGGTCTTGATTTGGGGGTGGGGGTAGACTGGGGCAAGGCAGAAGCTTGGCCAGAGGCTGCTGATGGCCGGAGGGAGCTGGGAGAAGAGGCATTCCAGGTCACCCCGAATGGAGCAGAGAGTGGGGCCCACACCGGGCCTTCCTCACTGGACTCCAGGGCCCTCCATCCCTCGCCCCTCTGCCATTGCCTCCTTCCTGACTGCAAACCCTCCTTGCCGTAGAGCCCCCTGCCCCACAGACTGTATGTCTTGTCTTCCAGGTCTTATTCCAGCTGCAGCCCCCTCCCTCGCCCCACCCCCAGGCCCCACTACAGTTAGGTTTAACCAAGCCTCCCAGTATTTCGTGAGCACAGCTCTGCAGAGCCTGGCCAGCCCCGTGGGGTAAGGCCACCCACCCTCCCATCCACCAGTTGAGTGTGGAAGACTGGATGTCTCAGAGCTGCAGGTGTGGAGTCCACCTGTGGTTATGGGAGGACAAACCAACCGCCGCTGTGAAAGGATTAGCTGGACCTCAAAAGGCCTGGCTCAGATGGGGGATTGAGGCTTCGGCCTGAGGGCACTGCCCACTGGCGCCACAGCCTGTGGGAGGCAGCAGTGACTCGTGGCCAAACCAGGGCTCAGCAGCAGGGAGGCAGCTCCTTAAGGAGAGGCACAGGCTTAGGCAGCGAGAGACAGATGCCAGGAGAGGGGCCCTTCCTCAGCATCCAGCTTCCCACTCGGCTCGGCCATGTTTACCAAGCAACCTCAGGGCATCCACTGTAACTATTATGGTGGTGCCACCGCTCTGCTGGGTACAGGCCATCTGGGTGCAGGGACAGCCAGGCAGGGGGTGAACAGGGTGAGGACTCCAGGGAGGGGCCCACCTGACAGCACCCAGAGCCTCCTGCACCTGTGGACATGTTCCAGCCATCCCCACTCTGCACCAAGATGGGAAGTGAGGCTGTGGCCGTGGCTGCCTCTCTCCCGCACCTGTCCCCAGGGCTTGGGCTCGCCACTGCCGGTGTGTGCCCAGGTGCTGGCAGGAGGGAGAGGCTGGGATAGGGACTAACGGGGGGTATACAGCACAGGCTGGGACCCACGGGGAGAGGCAGGGCAGGGGGGTGTTCAGCTCCAAGACAGCCAGTTGTCAGCCTTTGCCAGGGCACTGGACAGGGCTGTGGAGGTGAGGGGAGGCGGCCTCCCCTTATTTCCCATGCCGAATTTGGGAGCCACCCAGTCCCACTTAGCCAGACCTTGGGGGCAGCCTGGCCTGCAGGTGCAGAGGACAGCTTCAGGGAAGCAGGGAGGAGTGGGGTACAGGCTGAGCCCAGTGGCCATCAGGCTTTGGGGGATGAGGGAGCGCTGTAACTTTCCTTCTGTTCCTCCTCTCCCAGTCCCGCCACTTACAATGGCCTCTGTTGGGGGTTGTGTGTCCCTTTGTCCATGGGGCCTGTGGGTGTGGCTGCTGGTTGCCTCTGAACTCAGGCTGGTTGCAGGGAGGGGGCTCCCAGGGGATTCTGGAGTCCTGGGGTAGAGGCAGAGTGCCCCAGAGCCAGGTCCCAGGAGAGCTCATCAAGGCCAGGCCAGGAGAGTGGGGACAGGACTTCTGGCTGTGTGTGGCCCATCCTTGAATAACGGCTGAAAGGGAGGCGCCATCTCAGACAGCACACCCTGCCTGTGCGCCCTTGGCTGAGCTGTGCAGACGAGTGTGTGTGTGTGTGTGTTGTGTGTGTGCTTGCTCACATCATAAGTGTATGTGTGTCTGTGTGTGTATTCAGGGTGTGCATGTGGAGAGGGCCAGATTGAGGAGGAGGGGTAAGTTCTCAGGTTTTCCAGGATTACAGGGAAGCAAGTCCAGCCGTTTGGGCACTAGGTTGGCTGGGGATGGAGGGAGAAGGATGGGGTGTGGTCACAGCCTCTCTCAAAAGCAAGAAGGGCTTCCTGGCAGAGGAGGCTGGACTCAACTTAGCCCACTACCCTCATGACTCCAGCTTGACTTTAGTGTCTATTGAGGGGATCTGGAGGCCTCCAAGGAAAGCAGGTGTCACTGTGAGGGGTGACCCAAGGAAAGCAGGTGTCACTGTGAGGATGAATAGGGCTGCAGAGGCCCTGTCTCTCCCCAAACCAGCATGTCAAGCCTGAAAGCCCAGGAGATCACAGCATATAGGGAGCCCAGGAGGAAAGGAAGGCCCCCCACCCCTGCCTCGTTGGGGCAGGACCGGGGCAGGGCAGGGGACCCTCCTGCCTTCCAGGAGCCAAAGGGAAGCTGAGGCCCCAGCGCCACACTGCTCCAGGCATGGGCAGGGCCCTAGGCCCAGCAGGCGGCTAAGCCTTCTTGGGTCTTCGGCCGACTTGGTAATAGTAGTAAATGCTGATGGCAACAAAAAGGAGGCGGCTGACCAGGAGCAGCAGGATCCCCAGGGACATGAGGCCCGTCTCGGCTAGCGTGGCAGTGACCACTGTGGGAGAGAGGCCAGCGAGGCGGCAGGGTCAGAGGAGGGGATGAGTCCTGGCGCCGTCCCCTGCTCAGAGCCCTGGTGTGGCTGTCTCCCTGACTTTGAGCCCAGGGTCCTCCCAGGTGGGAAGCACAGGACCTGTCCCCTGTCCCTACCAACCCCACAGATGTTTCTGATCTGATGTCTCCCATGTGGCAGGAACTGGGGCACAGCGGGGGTGGGGTGGGGATATTACACAGGTGCTGGATACAGTGGGCAGCACGTGGGGGGGCTGCAGGTAGACGTGTGTGCAAGGCCATAGATACAAGTGTGTAGATTTGGGAAGCCACAGGCATGTGTTAGTTCTGCATGCACAGGTGTGCAGGCACACAGGTAAACATGGCCAGGTGAGCCCTTATCCCTCTATCCACTCCCCAGCCCCCACAGACAGGTTTTCATCACCTCCCACACACCCGAGTGGCTAAAGCAGGCAGGTCATCGGGGAAGCTGCTCATCAGCCTCAAAAAGTAGGATGCCTCCCTCATTGCCCACCTCAGGACTCACCCAAGAACTGGACCCCAAAGTAGCAGGCTTCGGTGAGCAGGGTCCATCGAATGATGACCTTCTCAGCCGTGTAGAGAGCATTCCACATGATCAGGGAGATGCCTGGAGCGGGGGCGAAGAGGGGTTTGCAGGTGGAACAGCCGACTCCCTCCCAGCAGAGCAGGAGGCCTGCTTCTCCCTCCTGGCCACCGCTGCAAGACAGCCGGGGTCCTGGACGTCGTGTGCCCGCCCCTACTCACACTCCTCAAATCAAAGCTGTCTGTCCCCCATCATGTCCCCTCCAGACTCAACATTGCTGCTTCAGCCTGCTGCTGTCATTCCAAGGCCCTGTGCCACACTGGGCAAGTCACTTCCCCACATGGAGACGCGATCTCTTTATCCAGTGGGAACACTGAGCTCCTGGTCCCTGCCCATGTCGGGGTCTGTCAGGAGGATGCTGTGTTGACGGAATCTGTGCGCTAACGGGTTACCTGGTCCTATGACCGGGTCTTCCTTCCACATAGACTCCCAGACAGAAAACCTGAGCCCATTAAGGAATCACTGTAAGGGACTCCCCAGGGGGGTGAGGGATGAGCCATACTTTTTAGCAGAAGAACCAGGGACTTGGCCTCTAGCAGGCCCCGCCCACCCAGTGTCTGCTGGGTGTGTATTTATTTTATTCCGACAACCCTAACTCCAGAGGAGCTGAGGCTTTATTCTGTAGGAAATATGGAGCCATAGAATGTTTTGTAGAAAGGGAGGCATATTACCTATGCTGAGCTTTACAGACTGCAATTTGAGATCCTAACATATGCATCTCGGGTTAGACAGGAAACAGAAGCAGTTCAAACAGAAGTGGATTTGGGGATAAAATGGCGTGGATGCGAGGGGTTCTGCACACACTGAATTGATCTGCCTCTCCTCTAGGCTGTGAAGTCCTAGAGGGCTGCGCCTGGGCCTCCTCCGTCTCTGGACCACAACGCCCAGGGCAGTGCATACATTTATGAGCGCTCCCTGCAGACGGTGGCAAAGACAAGCTCCACCCCCCTGGGTGTATTCCACCAATGGCCACAAGATGGCAGCACATCTCCAGCAGAGAGATTCACCAAAGGCCGGGGTGTGGGCTGCAGCATCCGGCCGAAGAAACGAAGGGGTACCCCGGTACGGATCCCCGTGCTCTCAGCCCGGCTGGGTCTCCCAGCTGCCCGTCGCCCCCACCCCAGGATACACCGCAGCAGTACTCACTGAGGAGGGCACCTCCATAGAGGCGAATAGGGGTCTTGCTGGTCACCTGGGCTCCATCGAAGACAGCATCATAGAGCTGGTCAGGGAAGGCAAGTGCCTGCGGGCAGCGAGAGGGGCTCAGAGATCCCGCTTGGGAGGAGCGGGGGGAGTGACAGCTGATGCTTCCCACGGATGCCTTCCTTCCCCCAGGAGCAGGATCAGCGTCCTCGGGGGCAGTCCAGGGTCGGGACCTGATTGTCCCCACCCACCCCCATAACGGTTCAGAAAACTCCAGGGTTCCTGGGACAAGGAGCCAGGCCACAAACCATGGGATCTAGTTTGCTCCTGGACAGGGCATAGGTGTGGCAGTGTCAGGAGTCAGGCCGAGAGCCTGACAGACGGGCCCCTGCACCTTCACGAGGGGCCAGGCTGAAGGATGAACCCCTGGTGAGCCAGAGAAGGGCTGGGGGAGCCACAGGGGGCCAGATTCCAGGGGCTGGGGCTGCAGGTGGGGGCTCACCATGACCGCAATGCCGGAGAACAGCACAGCAGAGACAAACTGCCAGACCCTGAGAGGCACAGAGAGAAGCTCACAGCCCCACCCCAGGGCACCCTCCCTCTCCAGCCCGGATGCCCAGGGATGGCAGCTTTGGGGGAGGTCATGAGACAAAGTAAAATCCAGGGACCAGGCCAAATCAGGTGGGGTCTTAGGCATTTCACACCCACTCAGGCTTTCCCCTCC